TCTAATAATATGTTGAAAACCAATAAAAAGATTCCCATTAAGCCCTAGAGTTTTATGAGATTATAAGTTAGTAAAACATGTTTAAAAGCTTACCATGATGAAAACCAAAAATGTTTGACATAATATTTAACCATACATTATATTGAATTCACAACTTTTATCTAATTTTGAATCATAAATTTCATAAGATCTACCAGCTTACCTAAAACCCTCCAATTAAATATTAGTTTTTATGTAATCAATAAAAATATAATTAAACCTTAATGTACATAATAAGCCCATCCCCACCCCTATTAATCCCAAACCCAGCCCCCGACTCTGTATCTTTCTCTACGGGTCACTCTCGGACTCTCTCTCTCCCTCTCTCTTCTACGGGTCACTCTAATCCACCTTACCTAACCCCTAGGGAGGAGCAGAACCATCGGAAAAAGCATATGCATGCAGCAGATTGTCGCTTTGCGCAGTGGAGCAGAACTGATGCTTACAACGACGAACCACTGCATTTAGCTGCTTCGCTAAGCAGCAATGACGATCTGCTTCCCAATAAATACAAGATTGAATTCCCAAGATTTTTACTTGAGACTGAGGAATCATTATGGGATCCTCTAAATATGTATTTGATTTTACCTCTGGAGTCAATAGACAAACCTATTGGTAAACCGCTAGATATCAATTGGACTAGAATTCAATCTTGTGTTTTGGTGGTAGAATTTTTGAAGAAAAATGCTAGCCAACTAAATGATTGTGAAACTTCACTAATTCACTCAAATGATTTAGTTACAACTAAATTCAATGGGCATGTCATTGAGTTGGCCAATAAGTCTGTTTCTGTTGTTGTAGATTTGACATGTAGTGGTGATTGTTTTGTGAATTTGAGGCGAAGATATTATTTATGGTTGTGGATTTGAGTTGAACGTGGTAGTGTTGGTGCATTGAATGTGATGGCGGTGGTAACTGGTGGTGCTAGTCTGCGCAGTGTGCATATATGTGCGTAGTGACCTTCTGTGACCAAATGTGTGTTTATTGTGACAGTTGTGGCCAATTTTATATTGATTGTGACTTGATCACATACAGTCAAAGATTGAGAGGTCACGGACAAACATATTGAAAATAAATTTGGTCATATTTAACCACATTGAAGATAAATTTGGTCACACTTAATCATCGATAACACATGTTAGTGATTTGGTTACATACAGTCACAAATAGTCACACTGACAACAAATTTGGTTACGTTTAGTTACATATAACATAAGTTAGTGACTTAGTTAGATACAGTCATAAATTAGATGGACAACCACACTAAAAACAAATTTGATCACAATTAATCACATATAACACCGTTAGTCACAAATTTAGGGTGATTACATGGGGATTAGGGTGTAATCTCCAAAAAAAAACTTTTAACAAAAACTTTTAAAATTTTTTGATTTTTTTTTTAAGTTGGTGTGGGATAGTCTCGGGGTGTGGTGTAATCTCCATAAAAGATTTTCAATTTTTGGAATTTTTTTACAAGTTGGAGTAGGGTGGAATAGAGTGGGGTGAGTTGTAATCTCGAG